AGAAATCTTCATACTCACCGCTGTGAAAACCTCGAATCATACAAAGTGTCGGTGAATTTGTGGGTGTAATACGATGAGACTTCGATAGAGGTTTCTCAACATATATCGAAGTCTCATCGTATTACACCCACAAATTCACCGACACTTTGTATGATTCGAGGTTTTCACAGCGGTGAGTATGAAGATTTCTATCTTCTGGGTTGTTGCGCTGTGTAGTATGAACAATATATGGAAGAAGGCCAGTGGGAAGACCTAAAGGTAGATGGCTGGATGCAGTGACGACTGACTCCAGAAATCTCCTTGGAACAGCAGCTTGGAGAAGGATAGCGTTGGATAGAGAGAATTGGAGGAAGAAGATAGAGGAGGCTAGGGCTCGATTTTGGGCTGTTACGCCATAGTAGTAGTAGTAGTAATACGATGAGACTATTAAGAATCTAAGAATATCTTACAGTAACTTTGGAAGCTTCATGCAGCACTTTCGTTATGTAAAAATAGTTGTGGAAAACTAGGCTTCAGCCATGCCACGTGTTTGGCAGAGACGAGCTTGCACGCGTTTAATGATGACTCGTTAACCTGATGAAGGAGCAACAAGTACCTCTGAAACGTCTGTTGACTTCTACGAGACAAAACGGCGCAACATCCCAGAAGACACTCTTCTTTAACCCTATAAATTTCTTACATTATTTAACGACACCCTCTCAGTTGCATAGATTGTTTTGAGTCGAACTGGAAAAAGATGCTGGTCATTAAGGGTAACTGTTAATTCTGAGGAAGAAAGCGATCAAGGCTTTATCACTATTTCTTTAGAATAACTGAGGAAGCTACAAAATATTTTAGTTCCGAGAGATTATCCAACTTCAGAATTTTAAAAATTCGAATAAACACCATCCAACTACGAAAGTCAATAAGCTTATGATATGGTAATTTGAGATGTATCTTTCTTACAGTTTGCTGGGTGAGTGGCCTAATACTTATGCTTTCACGAAAGCAATGGCTGAGGATTTAGTTAGAGACAAAGGACTTGGCCTTCCCATTGGAGTGTTCAGGCCAGCTATAGGTAAGAATCTGTGTTTCTAGATAATCTAGCACATAAAGGTGACACTGATTTGCCAGTCAAAACATTTCATTTATGTGCCTACACGTGAAAAACAAATGCAAGACGGAACAACGTAGAACTTATTTTGCAATTATAACCAGTATAAAATCAACATATATTAAAAAGTATGAGAATTCTAATGCAATAGACATTCGTCCATACCTTAATTTATTTTTACAGAAATTTAATAATTGCTTTAATGTAAACTGAGAAGTGCTCTGAAGAATGGGAGTGATTTTTATACTACAGCATCGGTTCTAAATGTAGTTAAATACATAGAAATGTCAACAAAATATTGGAAAGACCATTTGCAACGCGTGGACAGAAATAGGCTTCCAAAATAGGCAATCCGTTAGCAACCACGAGGACGTAGAAACCAGGGACGACCGAAGTATTGACGAGAGGACTAGGAAAATCTATCTTGCGATTTATATGAACAGGCCATACGGCCTAAACCCTAATTAGTTCACCATGATGATAATGATAATGATATTTCTATAGTCTTTCTTGAGAGATGGTAAGATAAAGAATTCTGAATTTAACGTTAACAGGCATACACTTAATTTAAGCCGCTTCTTATTTATTTCTTAATGTAATTTTGATTCCTTTATGATATTCCAAAATATTTTAACGTTGTTAACATAATTTCATCAAACATTACTAAATTAAAAACCTCGATACGGCATCACTGTTAACTATATTGTCATATATATATATATATGAGTATCGGTCATCATGCTACCGGCTGGACGGCCGGGGTTCGATCCCCGACGGGGGCAGAGGATTTTTCCTCTAGCCTCTGCGTCCAGACCGGCTCTGGGGCCCACCCAGCCTCCTCTACAATGGGTACCGGGGTCCTTTCCCGGGGGTAAAGCCGGCCGGGGCGTGATGCCGACCACTCACCCCCATCTAGTGCCGAGGTCAAGAAAGAGAGGAGCTATACTTCCACTCCCCCCAAACGCCTACATGGCGTATAGTGGGACAAACTTTACTTTACTTTTATCGGTCATCATGCCACGACAGGATTTTAATCCTGTCCTTGTAGAAGCGCTGATTAAAATAATCGCAGTTTATGCTCAGTGAGTACCGGTGATCCTGTTGCAGTGGTGGCCACGCGCGATGAGCCGGTGTCCGGCTGGATCGACAACTTGTATGGGCCGACTGGTGTGGTTGTGGGGGCTGCAACTGGCTTGATCAAGACATTGCATGGGGACGCAGGCGTTAACGCTGACATCGTTCCTGTCGACATGGCTGTTAACGCCGTCATAGTGTCTGCGTGGGAAGTTGCCAACAAACCAAGGTACCGTTTGCAGCAGACAACAATCTGTTAATCAAATTAGGTACCTCTAGAACACGAATTGAAACAGAAAGAAATACACCATTCACAACCGGTCTGGTGTTGAGCAAATATCTCTACTGCTCTTTGTTCCTATGGAAGATAATATTAATGTGAGATTAAAAGTCGTAATGCAATCTGTGTGCACCTTGTTTCTGTTCTGACACAGGGCCCACACTGCTGATGAAATCCCTCTTTATAACTACGTATCATCGGTGCAGAAGCCCTTAACTTGGGGTCAGTTCATGGACAAGGTTTCGCGATATGGGATCCATGTCCCTACTGTTAGGACCGTCTGGTGCTACTCATTCACACTCAATAAGCATCGTTCTCTGCACCTGATGTATGTCCTCTTTCTGCATTTCCTGCCAGCCTTCATAATAGATGGGGTCACCATGCTCTTCGGGAACAAGCCCAAGTAAGTAGTCACATTACCGGATTTGTCTTGATCATTTTACATGCCACCCAGACCAAAACCAACTCCATGGAATAATCAAGTAGTCACTCAGACAATAATTAACCTCCCACGATTTATGCCAGCGATGTTTTTCACCAAAATGTTGCTGACAACCTAAAACTCCACAGTCAGCATATAATAACTGCACCGGTAAAGCAGTAATCGAGTAGCAGCGTCAATGAGGATGGCTCCTAAGTCTGTTTACCAACATTGTACCAACAATGTTATAAAAACTACAACATTGTAAGAACAGTGGTCTCCATTGTAATAATAATTATAAAAATAATTTAAATTGATCTGTCAACTAAGGACATGACAGTAATGTCACTGGCAATAACTGTGAAATTCTCTCCAAAAAAGAAGCACAGATATTTTTGGAAACTTTCAATTTATACAAACAATGTCAAGAAGCCCTTACTGAAAAGACAATAATTTTAATTGATGAACCAAAGAAAGTGATTAACTTTGAAAGGTCCAAGGATCAATGACTTACCCTTAAGACAACAGATTATGTATTAATCCTATTTAGGAAATACTGAATATGACTGACTCTGTACTTACGCTCCTGCTTGTATTTATTTGATTTTTATTGTCGGATTAATTAATGAGTATTTTCCTATTATAGACCAACACAAGTAGCACTTTGTGCTTTAAAAGAGAGTTGTGTTGATGGTCTGCAGATCAATATTCTTACAGATGGTCTCCAATATACAAAGCAGGAGAGTCATACATACAAATTAATGGTAATAAGATGAGTAATTATCCTTATATGAAGGTAAATCTTTAAACTTACATGTCATTGTGTCTGAGGATATATCTCTCCGCATCCTCCTGTTTTCGTCTTCCTCTTCTCTTTCAAGTCAAAATACTATCCCCATGATCCTGATCTATTCTAACCTCAATCTGTTATTTTTATATAGTGTGAGAGATTAAATACCATAAAATAACAGATAAAAGTGTAACTGTAATAATTGAATAAGATATATTTGTAACAGTGAAGCATAACACTGATTTAAAAATGTGTATATGTTTAAAGCTTATATATATTGTTCTTATGAGAAATTTATTTGTTGATTCAGTTATTTTTTGATAGTTATTTGTTTAACTGAAGTGGGAAATATTATAGTCCTTTATCTCTAATAATAATCATATTATAGGTGCTTCTTAGGGAGACATATAACACAACAAATATTATATATATCATTATAACTGGCATTACTTCTTGTATAATGGCAAAAGTAAAGTATTAGGCACATACAGCAAACATATTATTATTGACATTATCTGCAGAATATACAGGCTTGTGTATTTAAATACTTGTTTTAAAGGCTCTGTAGGCTGTTTTCATTTAAAATAAAGATAAAGTATTTTTCAATATTTTGAATGAATAGAAAATACAGAAATAGGTATTAATCATATAAATATAAAATGGATCAACGTAATCAGTAAAAATGCTCCAATCAATAGAAAATATATGCAAATACTTTCCTACCATTCCTACTCAACTGTAATCTAATTATTACCTCTACTTTCTTAAACATGTCCAATTTAGATAGATGTCTTCCCCTTCTAAATTCCTATAAATGTATATTAAGGAATAACAAGACACGTGGCCACACTCTCATTCGATTCTTTTTCCTCAGGTTAGTAAAGATCTACAAGAAGATCAATAAGTTCTGCAGTGTCTTATCTTACTTTGGTAACCGTGAGTGGAAGTTCACAAACAACAATATCCAAGGACTGTGGGAGAAACTAAATGAAAATGACAAGAAATTGTTTGACTTCGATATCGATGGCCTTGACTGGGATAATTATTTCTACAAGTATGTCAGAGGAATCAGGATATACCTGATGAAGGACGACCTCTCCACAGTTCCACAGGGTCTCGCAAGACAAAAAAGGTACATTAACATTCTATAATGCAATGTTCAGGGCACAGTCAA